AAGTAAAACTAAAGCTATTTACAATCTCAGTCTCTTCACTATCCTTCATGATGCTGCCAATTAGCCCAGTGGCGAGAATCTTTGTCTCGCCACTGGGCCAACTGGCAGCATCGTGATGAATAGTGAAGAGACCGAGATTGTAAATGACTAGGGAGGATAGAAGGAGAATTGATGCCTTTGAGCTGTGGTGATGGAGAGGCGTATTGAATGTACCATGGACTGCCAAGAAAACAAACAGATTCATCCTGGAGAGGGTTAAACCAGGCTGCTCGTTGGAGGCAAGGATTCTGGGGCTTCGTCTAATATACTTTGGACATGTTGTAAGGAGGGACCGGTCCTTGGAGCAGGACATCATGCTTGGTAGGGGGGAGGGATGGCACAAGAGGAGAAGACCCTCTATGAGGTGGATTGATTCAGTGACTTGGGTAATTGAGGTGGCTGTGTCGGAGACAGTGCGAGTGGCGCAGGACAGAGCAGGGTTTAGGGCTGTTGTTACACAGGGTCGCTATGAGTCACAAGCAACTTGACAGCACATAACAACAACATAATTCAGATCATGTAGTTTAAGTAGAGTATAAATGATATACACTAAGTGCCTAGGACTTAAATGAACAACTCAATAAAGTTATGTTTCTGTGGGTAACCACCACTGAGATCAAGCTCTAGAACGTTCCATCACCCCAGAAGGTTCCCGTCATGCCTCCTTCCAGTCACAGCCCTTGTCTCAAAGCTAACTACTACTCTGAATTCTCTCACTACAGGTTAGGTTGAATGATTTTTGAACTTCAAAAACCAAGAGCAATGAACAAAAACAACAAGTCAAAGCAGGTCTCAGGTCTCGGGTACTTACTGTATTCCAGTCACAGAGGACAAACCAAGACCAGTGGCAGCGGAAATACATGACACAGGCAGCTGAACCTCATGTCCACTAGCTGGGATTTAACAGCTACGAAGCGGAAGCAGCTTCTTTCTGTACTGGGCAGCACAGAACTAGGCTCTATTAAAGGCCTCTAATGCCATCAGCAGTGCTTCGGAGGGCTGATGCAGGAATTCTGCAGACAGTACCCATGTGGGACAGCATTCTGGAGGCCCCTGGTTGCCCCTAGCTTGAATTATGGAGCAGCTGGAAGGAGTAAAGGTGGTTCCAGGGCTTGGATAACCAGACGCCCATCTCTGAGTCACGGAGCCCATATACCACATGGTACAGACGTACCAGGCAAGGTAAACCTTGACTGTGGGGAGCAGTAGTTTCCAGCACGTAAGTGGCAGCTGCTTGCAGCATCTGCCATGGATTGAACTGTGCCCTAAAAAAAACATGTGTTCTAAATGCTAACTACATACAGATACACCTTGGCTTTATTGCACCCCTCACAGACTTTAAAAAAAAATAAATTAGGGGAGCTCTGGTGGCCTAGTGGTAAGGAGCTGCAACTACAATCCCAGAGGCACACGGTTCGAATCCACCAGATGCTCTGCTGGGGAAGGAGGGACAATCTCCTCCTGTACCAGTCAGATCTGATTTGATGGTACACTCACACAAAAATAATAAAATAAAAAAATTTAAAAAAATAAATTAAGGTTTGTGACAACCTTACGTTGGTGAGTCTTCCCATCACCTTTTTTTGTCCAAACTTTTAAAAAATTATTTTTTTTAAAATTTTTTTTTATTATTTTTTATTATTTTGTGTGCGTGTACCGTCAAATCAGATCTGACTGGTACAAGAGGATATTGCGCCTCCTTCTCCGGCAGAGCATCTGGTGGATTCGAACCGTGTTTCTCTGGGATTGCAGTGCAGCTTCTTGCCACTAGGCCACCAGAGCTCCCCTTAAAAAATTATTTTTAATGAAAGTTTACAGAGACTTAGGGGTTCTAGTCATTCATTGTTGCACTTTTCTCCCTCTCCTCCCAATTCACTCTTCTCCTTGAAAAGAAAGAAAAACTCTTTCATTGTTATGCAATCCCTTCTCCCAAGTTCACTCCACTATGTAGCCTTCACTCTGGACTTCTGTAATGACAAGAATACCCATTCATATATCCCTTTTAAACAGTTCTCTCCCTCATCTGTTGCAGTGCAGTATACATCATTCCTCCCCTCCTTCTCTGTCTTCCCTCAACCCTGATGTCAGTCCCGTTTTACAACACTGGCCCTATGCAATATTTGTCCTTTTGTGTCTGAGATATTTCACTCAGCAGAATGTCCTCCAGGGTCATCCATTTTGCATAATATTTCATGAGTTCCTTGTTTTTCAGTGCTGCATGGTATGAATATAACAAAGCTTCTCTATGCATTCGTTTGTTGATGGGCACTTGGGTTGTTTCCAGCTCTTTGCTACTGTGAACAAAGCCACGATAAACACGGGTGTACATCCTCACCATTTTTCTAACACCATTTTTCCAACTGTGTGTCTCTGTGTCACATTCAGGTAATTTTCACAACGTGCCAAACTTTCCCATTGTGGTATTGCATGCTTGAAAGACTATCAACCTCATTCCCAGCAAGCTGATTCCCACTAAAGCAACCCAACAAGAGAAAGCAGAAGTGCCCCCCAGGGCTTCCGAAGGTAATAGACTGCCTCATCTTCCTCACAAGGGTTTGAACCACTCATCTTTTCATGAGCAACCCACTGCTTCACCCGCTGTGCTATTAGGGCTCCTTTCATAGACTAACCCAGCCCAAACCCAAGCCACTGCTGTTGAGTCAGTTCTGACTGCAATCTGTCTCCCTTCAGTTTTCTAAGGCTGTAAATCTTTGTAGGAGAAGCGTTAATGTTTCCTAGCAACATGCCCACAGTATGTGAGACAAAGCTTCACCATCCTTGCTTCTAAGGAACACTCTGGATTCACCCTTTCCAAGACCTATTTGTTCTTCTGGCATCCATGGGATATTCACCACTCTTCTCCAAAACCACAACGCAAAGGCATCATGTTTTTAAAAAAATATCTGGTTTTTTTATTATTAATTTTAATGAACGTTTACAGAGACTTTGGATTTCCATTCATTCATTGTTGCATTTTTCTCCCTGCCCACCCCAACTCCCCCCACTTTGCTCTTCTCTTTGAAAAGTAAAAGAAAAATTCTTTCATTGTTATACAATCCTCCCCCGCCAGTCCACTCCACTATGCAACCTTCATTCTGGACTCTTGTCATGACAGTCATTATCTATTCATCTATCGCTTTTTTTCCATCTTTTTTTTTCATCTATCGCTTTTAAACAGTTCTCTCCCTCATCTGTTTCAAGGCAGTATACATAATTTAGCTCATCTTTCTCGGTCTCCCCCCAATTCCAATGTGAGTCCCATTTTACAATAATGGCACTATGCAATATTTGTCCATTTGGCATAACTTTTTTTCTGTCATCCTTATTAATTTTCCAGTTCTCAGAAACACAGTAGATGATTGAAAAGACGATGGTATGAATTAGGTGCACCTTAGTCCTTAAGCTAACATCATTGCTCTTCAGTAATTTGGCAAAATCCCTGACTGCAGACTTTCCCAGTGCAATGTAACTCCTGATCTCCTGACTGCTGGTGCCACGTGGCTTTATTGTGGATCCAAGAAAGACGAACTCATTAACTGTTCAGTCTTTTCTCCATCTATCATGATGGAGCGCATTTGGGAACATCAAATGGGAAGAGCGCTGGTACATTGTGGGGACAGCAGCCAATGTCATGAAACGTGTATGAACTATTGAATGGAAAAATAATTTGTAAACTTTCATCCAATTCACAACAAAAAGTTAAAAAAGAAAAGACGAGTTGGCCCTTACAAACCTATTTTATTAGTCAGGTCTTCTCTGGGCCCCCATCCAAACTAGAACTGGCTCTCTGGAGAGAAACACCACGAAGGTCCTCATGAGAACAGCTGGATTGTACACTGCTGTGGCCTAAGGCTGGCACAGGATATGAACTCAAGTGTATGCTGAATAGAGGGGGATACCAAGACGGGCACCATGATGGGCTGCTTCTAGGGAAATAAAGTGAGACAATGTTCTGTGCTTGGCACAATGCAAGTGGTCAATAAACATCTGGGGCTGTTGTCACTGCTACTCCCTTGGGCTCTCACAAACACCTCTTAAGTTCTGGATACTGAACTTTACAAAGGTACATACTGAACCAATGGGCCCAGCTAGCTAAGTTTTTAGCCTCAGATGACAGACAGAATGTCTTCAAACATGGAATTCTATCTCTTGGGCCTCCAGACAGGAAGCCCAAACCAGGTCACTGGTTTACTTTTAATAAGCTTGAGAATTTCCATAAGATCTCATTTTTTGCCCTAAGGGACCCACATCCAACTGGCAGCAATCTTTAAAAAGTAAACCTGTGAAAGAGTTCTCTGGAGAATTGGGAATGGAGTTCAATGTCTTCTTGGCCTGAGGTTTTACTGTCTTCCATCACCTTCTCTATCTATCTATCTAGTCAAGGAGATTTAACCCAACAAAGCAGGGTAGGAGGCAGAAAAAGCTGAGGGAGCAACAGGATTCAGGAAGGAGCACGAGGCCCAAGGCCGCCACAGGCCACAGTCGGGGCAGGAGACACCAGCTAGGCCTCACAGGCCTGAAGCCATTTCCTGGCCGACTCCATGTTTGCTCTGCGAACCGTGCGCAGAGCCAGAGGGAAGTTAAATATAGTCGCCGCAGCCCCGCTGAACGGCTCCCCGCGTCGGCGCCCGAGAGTGCCACCTGGTGGCTCGGTCCCTGCTCCTCTGTGGAATAAAAACCATCTCCAGGGAAGGACCTTACCAAGATGGCCGCCTGAGGAAACACTGGGGCTTGAGGGACTGACAGAGAGAGCGAGCGAGAGACAGTGTGTGTGTGTGTGAGAGAGCCAGCGAGCTCGCCTGAGTGTGTGGACGTGGTTTTACTCCTCTCACTGCTGGCTGCTGCCCCATTTCTTCTGGCTGCTGAATCACTACCAAAATGGCTTCCCCAGAAAACTCAGGGAAGGGCCCTGGGAAAGGCCTGGGCCGGGCCTAAACCCACGCCTCCCAGCTGACACTCACCATGTCAGTCAGGCTGCAGAACTCTTCCAGCCTGAGGAGCATCCCTTCAATGGTCTCCTCCACCTCCTTTGCCTGGAAAAGACACAAGATGCTGGAGATTAGTTAGTGGTTTCCAGGGAGACACAAGCCCCGTCATTTTTTAAAAAAATTTTAAACACAAAAGTCTTTAGGATTATGTGTCCAGTTTTTCTAGAGCTTCTTCGACTTTTCAAAGCCTCTACAGCTTATGTGAAAGGGCGACCAGCTGATGCCAATCTTGACACCCATTAAGAGGACTGGATATGGTCACGGGGGGAATCTCATTCTCCACTGCCGTCCAAAGAGACCGAGTGGCACCCATTTCCTAAACAACATGCCTCCGGAAACTCTATGAACTTTGATAAATGTAGATAGTTGCAGAGGGGCTTCAGGCCTTTTGTTCATAGGGTCTCTATGAGTCGTGCTCGACTCGAAGGCAATCAACAGCAATAACAGGAAATAACAAATTGATCCTTTATCAGCCCTTTTACAGATGAGGAAAATGAGGACAGAGAGGTGATATTAAGTTGCTCAAGGGCACACAACTAATGAGTAGATGAGCCAGGAATCTAATGTAGGTTAGCAGTCCACAACCTCACGGCCTACCTTTATAAATACTGTGATACACCTCCTGAAAAACCACAACGCAAGCCAGCAAGCCACAGAATATGTAGAATATAAGCCAATCTTTATAACATCAACAACAAATGGACATAGTTTAACAGAGAATGGACTGGAAATACAACAGGACAAACGGAATCATTTTTTTTTTTTAATTTTTACATTTTTTAATTAATGAAAGTTTACAAAGAGTTTGGATTTCCATTCATTCATTGTTGCACTTTTCTCCCTGCTAACCCCTCCCCCCAAACCGTTCTTCTCCTTGAAAAGTAAAAGAAAAATTCTTTCATTGTTATACAATCCCTTTCCCCAAGTCCATGCCACTGTGTAGCCTTCATTTTGGACTCCTGTCATGACAATAATACCTAATCATATGTCCCTTTTAAAACGGAATCATTAAGGGGACCCACTTCTACTCCCCACTTGTCTGTTGTTCTGAGGTGGCCTGTGTGATCATAGAAACTAGACCACGAGTATTTCAAATACCAGAAGGTCATCCAGGATGGACAGGGTTCTAGTTTTAGACTAAAAGAGAGCAGGAAGAAAGATCTGGAGATGTACGTCCTCCTTAAAATTAGCCAATGAGAACTTTATGGATCACAACAGAACATTGTTCAGCACAGCAACGGAAGATGGGCCCTGTCGGCTGGACAGCAAGAACTACCCAATATCTAAAACAAGTCACCAAGGGTCCTAAAAATGGTGTAGGACAACCCCAGGGCCAAGTACCATTTCATGCTGTTATTCACAAGCTTGCCATGGGTCATATGAAAGTCGAACAACATACTTATGTAAAAAAAAAAAAAACACAACCAAATTTGGTTTTGCTTGAAATGTAGATTGAAATGGCCACCTGACAACCCTATTACAGATGGTATATCTAAGCCCAGGGAAGCTTGGTGGCAATGAGTAGCCAGATGAAGTGTCAGCTGTTCAAACTCACCTAGTGGGTCTGCAGGAGAAAGGTCTGGGGATCTGGTTCCACAAAGATTACCATTTAGGAAACCGTAAGGGGCAGTCCACTCTGTCATACGGGGCAGCTCTGTCTACCACACACTTAACAGTTCCATCAACAACTAAGACCAAGGAGGGTAAGAACCGGAGTCTGATGAGAGAGAACTGGATGTTGTATGGCTGCAAACCAGAAGGTGACTGGTTCAAACCCACCAGCTGCTCTGAAGGAGAAAGACCTGGTCATCTGCTTCTAGAAAGATCACAGGCTCGCAAACTCCACTGGACTGTGCTACTCTGTCCTCCAGGATCATGGACTATAAGTGGACTTGATGGTCTGGATGCCACTTACAGGGCCCAATTCTCAAAGGCAGCGGAGACCAGGTGTGGCACAAACTTGTGACCCAGGCCAGAGGAGGGTGTGTTCTGGAAAGTGCTTTCCGGTTCCGAAGCTGCCACATTAGCAGCCGTGGGGAAATGCAGGCCCAGAGTTGGATCTTCAGTTGGGACTGAGACGTTTCCATTTGTCAAGGGGAAGTAGAAGTCTGAATTTAATAGGAAATGTCCCAATTTTAAAATACTGGCACAAATTTAAAAAAAAAAGTGTTAACACTTCAAGGACCAAAAAAAAAAAAAAGCCCAGGAGAATGAGGGTCTGTTGGTTTACCAGTTGTTATAAGGTGCCATCTAGTCAATTTCAACTAAAGTGACCCCACCACACACAAGAGAATGTAGCAAGGCCCAGTCCCGCTTACATGTATGTGAAAATGAACTTAAACATCTATCCTCTCAAAGTATGTGCTACTTTCCTGAGTTACACTTTAAAAAAAAATAAAATAACATTTCCAGGACATCAAAGATTCATCTAGAACATGAACCTCTTTCTCTAGCTTTCCCAGGCCAAGTTATTTGCTCCAGGGAGGTGTTTCAAGACTTTCTGGGCAAGCCTGGGGGCTCGCCCGCCAAACCTGAAGCCCCTGTCGTCACCACCCACTCTTCCCTGGAGAGATGTTTACACAGGGCCAGTGTCTGCTGCTTCCAGCAGGAGCAGTCACTACCACAACAAAATAAACGACGCAAGAAGCATCTTTCCGGTTGGAGTATAAATAGTACCCAGTGCAATGCTAAACTCTGGAATCTGCTCCTCAAAGCTGGAGCTATTTCTGCACCTAAATCGGGGAGATGTACTGGAAGAAGGGGACCATGGAGGAGAGAGGGCATAGGAAAATGCAGGAAGTCCCTCACCCCAAAAGTAAAACTGGGGTACATATATGGTTACTGTGGCAAGCTCTGGTGGCCTAGTGGCAGGAAACTGCACTGCAATCCCATAGGTGCGCTGTTCAAATCCACCAGATGCTCTGCTGAAGAAGGAGGAACAGTCGCCTCCTGTACCAGTCAGATCCAATTTGACGGTACACACATTAAAAAAAAAA